ATGAAGGCCTTGTTAGGGTGCCTCTCTCTCTCTCTCTGTCTCTCTGTGCCTCTGAAGAAGTAAATCAATAAACTTAAACAATTCTTTTCAGTTGCACTCAATTGATACGTGAAAATCTATATAATTTTAAATTTTCTCTGACATGAGGACTCAGAGAGCAAGATGTAAAAATTCTTCCAAGCTTCTTGAAGGTGCTGAAGATCCACAGGGAGAAGATAAAAGAGCAACTTCCAGGACTCTATACTCCATCATTTTCTGACTATATAGAGTTCCTTAACAAACCGTGTGAGGTTTTTTTGAGTTTTTTTTTTAGAATAATTCTACTTATTATTTTTAAATTTTGCTATAGGGCAAGTGCACTCACCAGAGAGAAACAAAGAATGAAAAAGCAAGCCCTCAGGTCTGCGACTCAAACCACAGTCAGCCATGTGGGAGTCCAACACCTTAACCACCATGCCACCTGGTGGCCCCAGCTGTGCTGTTTTTATGCCTAGATTGTCAGGCTACATGACTCATTCTGCCCTGGCTGCTGGGCACACTAAAGCACAAATTTCAAGACACCATACAAATGTCATATCCTCACCAAAAATTTTTTTTCCTTTAAAGAATTACTTTATTTAACTTTATTTATTTGTTTGTTTGTTTGTTTATTTTAATTTGACCAGAGAGGAACAGAGAGAGAGAGAGAATAAGAGTGAGGGAAAGTGAAAAAGCAAATTGCCAGGCCAGGACTCAAACCATAGTCAGCCATGTGGGAGTCCAGCACTCTGAACCACCATACCACCTGCTCACCAAAGCTTTTACTAGCCTTGCCAGTTTACGTTAGCAGCCCCTTCTTTGCTATCACAGTACCCTGAGAGTTTGCAGTCAAAGTACTTAAACCATATTGTCATTTCTTTTTGTTTGTTTGTTTGTGTACAAGTCTGTGCACCTTCTGGATATCAGCTCCTTGAGACCCTTGTGCATCTTCATCTGTCCACTCTCTAACCCAGTGTTTGTGCAGGGTGGGGCACAAGCATTTATGGATGAAAGAGAGAAAGAAGGTGTTATAAAAGCAGAATCTGTTAAACAACGGCAAAGCTCATCCTCAATAATTAAGACTAATTGGGGAAGAATGGATAAAGGCCAGGTTCAATGTTTTAAAAGCATCTTGTGGGATGCCTCTCACATGAGAGGTGAAAAGTAAATATTCTGGTAGATTCATTTGAGTTGTAGCAAGGAAAAAAACTTAGAGAACTTGCAGGAAAATTGTGTTACATGGTTTCTCCAAATATTTGAGAAATGCCCTACTGCATTTATACTTTTTAAAAAATCTTTATTTATTTATTTTAGTTTACTAGAGGGCAATGGGCGGTCACTGGAGACAAGCAAGAGAGAGCGAGTGAGAGGGAAAGTAGGAAAACCCCTGTGGGGAATGGTCATGTTGCAATCCCCTTCTCCTCCATTTCTCCCTTCCATTGGGATTTTGGGCATGCATACACATGCACCTGGCATGTTTATCAAGTCATTAGGTCCAGGACTTAAACTGTGCAGTTGGTCATATGGGATCCAGGTGTCTTAACCACCATGACACCAGCTGACCTGCATTTATACTTTTAAATTTTCCAAAGCGTTACCTGACATCACATATTTTTGCACTAACCATTTGGAACTTTGCTTTAAGAAAGTGAAATTATTTTATGTTCAAATAAATCACATTACTTTCTTGAAATTGTTCACCTCATAAAAATAAACAATTGATAACGCTGAGTTTAGAACCTGTTTACTTGACAAATACAATGTTCAACTTTCCAATTAATTTAATTATGGAAATCTTTAAAAGAAACAAAATACTTGAAATTCAAAACTCCCAACTGGGTGACTAAGAAAACATTGTGGACATTATCTATATTTAATAGCATTTACATTTAACCCCCATCTGAATGAAAAAAAAACTGTCCAGAACATATATCTACTCTTTATTTCTTCTCTCACCCCTCATCTGGGGAGACTTTATTTATGCATTAGACGACCTTTTTGGCCATTAGAACCATCTTGCTTCGGCAGTTAATTAACACAAGTACCATAATTTAATACAGTTAATGCTACTTGATGCCCTTTAATGTACCTTCCATTAGTGATATTATTGTAGTATTACCCTGTAAATTAAAATGAGATCAAGACTAAGAGAGCTGCTCTTTAATTAAGGTACTGGCACACTGCACTCGTCTATTAGTCACTAGAGAAAATCACCCTGATTTACTGAAGCAGGACATTCATAAGTCAGAATTAGGCCATGAAGATGATTAGGTTTATTGAACAATGTAAGTACTACGGAGTCGCTGAGATTGCCAACAGCCATGTTTCCTCTTTTCCCTCCATTATCTTAATAAATACGATGAGAGGGAGTAAATGGAAGCAAAACAAGTATGTTGCAAAAGAGAAGCAAATTTGTATGATGAGATTATAGCGCTGGCACTAGTGAAATAGGCATCAGCTGTGTTACACATTAAAAAGACCTTACATGCTACAGTATTCTAATGAGAATCCGAATACCATTTTTACCTCAAACTGTATTAGTTGATATAAAATATATACATGAACAAATAAATAGAGAATTTGAATTCAAACTCAGGTCATTAGAACACAGACGCCAACTATTGTCTCATAACTGAATCTGTTAAGGTGAACAAATCTGCATACTCTAGAATCCACTGTCCTATAGATATTTCCATCTGGTTTCTATTCCATTTTCCCAAAATAGCTCATGTCAATTCCCACATGATAGTGGGGGTGGGGGTGGGACATGGCAAGTAGGAAAAATGTCATTTTCGTTATCAGATGCAGACATGTACAGGCATGTTCGATGATGCAGTTGTTTCACGGGATAGTGGGAGTGCAGGAAATAAAGACTTTGGTTACCTTTCAGAAGGTTTATATTGATGATAGTCTTGAACAGTAAATTTAGAATTTTCCTTTAGAGATGGTCAATTAATATTTTAATACTTACACAGATGATTTGTTGTATATGAGAAAGACAGGATTAATGAATCCTACTGAAAGTGTCAAGGGTAAAATAATTCTATCAGCTTCTATGCCGAAAGTCCTGGTGAACCAGGCAACAGCACAGCCCTTTCCTTTAGTGGCTCCATCATGAACAGATCTTCCTTATATAACTTAAAAGTTGGAGACACGCCCGAGCCATCAGGCCTTGCTTTAGTCCCTCCCCTAAGACTAAAAATACCCTGGCCATCTGGTGCCTAGCACAGTACGTGCCAGCACCAGTTTTGCCCTGAGGAATTTGGACAGAGTTTGGAGGTGACAGAGTGGGACCTTATGGAAGGGGCTCACCTCTACTGGACCTTTATCTTTTTCACCAGCTGCTTCTCACCAGCTCACACTTGACTGGTGAACAGGAAAAGACAAGGGAGGTGAGCCCCACAGAAGGGAAAAGGGCTCCTTTAGACCCTCTAAACTCCTCAGAACTACTGAAATGCAACTGTAGAATGCCACTAGGATGAGGGAATGAAAGGAAAGTGGTAAATCTGGAGGGAGTCTACATTTCTCACGTGCCACCTTTAGGAGACAGCATGGCCGACCCCAGTGGAGCAGGCATAAGATTGTCCTTAGCTTTAAAATATATTCTACACTTTAATTAAAGAAAGGAAAAATGGATACTCAATAAGAAAGCCCTGACAACAGCTATTTCCCAGCCAAAAAGCTTCAAAGATCATATTCTTTACAAACAGCAAAATAAAAGTGCTTGAGGAAGTTGGGTTTTTAGGGATTTGGGCTCAGATAAACGATTCATCAAACTATAAGGAAACTGACCTACACAAGAATCTATCTAATAATGTAAATCACACTAGGATTCAAAGTCTAAGCTCAGTGCATTAATTTTGACCTTTATTCTCATAGCTTGAGTATAATGACTGAATTTGATTATAAACAGCAAACTCGTGTTTGAGGCAATAATTCCACATTGCCCTCTCATGGTAACCTGCTAATACATGAACCATCCTCTATACTGGATCATCTCCCAACATTGAATCAGTGCACATTTCTCTCAAAAACATTATTTTGTAGGTCAGCCTCTTAGAACAGTTGTTAAGCCCTGTTCAGGGAGAGCTGTGGTCTGAGTGGATGACTATGGTCTGAGTCCTGGCCCAGTGGCTTAAAAAATGCACTGAGCAGGGACCTGCAGTTGGCGTAATGGCTATGTTGCTGGATTTCCATGTAGTTGACCACAGTTCGAGTCCCAGACACCATGGCTTAAACTCATGCTGGGCGCGTGTGTGTGCATGTCCAAGATCCCGAGAAGAGAATGGAGGAGAAGGGATTGTGGCGTGGCCATTCCTTGGGGGGGGGCGGTGATTTCTCACTTTCTGTCTCTCTCTCTCTCCCTGTCTTTCTGGCGAGCACATGCACCCTATAGCTAAAACCTCTAAAAAACAAAAAAGCACTGAGCAAATGTGCATGCCTGTTGCCCCAAATCCTGACAGGATGAAGAAGTGGACGACCAAGGATTGTGGTGTAACAGCATCTCAATGGGGGGAGGGGTGCTTTCTCTCATGCAAGCACTTACTCTTTCTCTTTCTCTGTATTGCAAACATAAATGCTCCTTTGGCAAGTAAAAAAAGTGAAAATAAAAAGCAAAATATTATTTGGCTTTAAAGGTAGCTTTATCACACATCACCAAGACCTTGGTTAAAAGTTTTTAAAAAGGCACCATAGCTAAAGAGCCTTGACTCTTCTACAAGGAGCATGAAGCTAGAACAAAGTGAATGACCAGGAGTTCTATTACTTGTCCACAGCTAAGATTCTGAAACCTGTGACACCACTCCAAGAGGCCAGGCCCACCACTCCATTCCATGCCCACACTTGAGCCTTTAGCACCTACAGGCGTTCTTGAGAAAATGTTGCAGTAGAAATTGACAAGTGTCACTTTATAGCTGTGGGAGCCCCTGACATTTTCTTTAGACACACTGATTCCCATTCAAGGCAGACAAATATTCTCTTACCTTCCTCGCACCTTTATGTCTGAGATCGCGTAAAAGTAGCGTGCCAAGTGTAGCTCATCTACAAATATTTCCCCAACAGCTGGTCTCAACAGCCTTATCCTCAGATCTGTGACTGTAAAGAAATCTCTGAGTTTCTTGGTTGTGTCCAGCTGTCCATAGAGGGAAGCCATATTGCGTAGCCGAGGTCCAGCAAAAAATGCAAACCTGTCTTTGATTTCAAAGTGGATTATTTTGCTATTTGTCATATATCCTGTGGAGTATTCTTCTGTGCAAATGATTTCTAAGACCGTATGCTGTGATAAATCCTTCACAGATTTAGGATCCATGTGAAAAGCATCTAAGCAGTCTGTGGCATAATACTGGTAGGGCTGCCATGTTCGTCCATAATCGAGAGACTTCTCCAGGATCATTTGGTCTGGACGCCCTGATTCAAAGGTAATAACTATGTTGTCCGTGAGCTCAATCGTTTTGCTCCAAGACAGAGTGATGTTAACCTGGAGAGGCTTCGGGTATTCCTTCCAAGTAGCAGACTGCCAAAATGTGGAGGGATGTCTTCCTTCGAAATCAAACATCAGCTCAGGGGGGTGTGCCAGCTCAGGAGTGCTTGCATCACACTCGTTATTACACATGTAGGGGTTGCCCTGTGGAAGAACAAAAGAGGGTGCATCAAAACACTGGTTTGACATGACTCTTGCCATATTGCTGTTGGTAAGAACCTATGAATGAAATAAAATGAAAACAAAAAATCCTGGTTTTAGAAAAGCAATACTGTAATTTTCTTCTTGTGTCTCCTTCCATGGGCTTTAAGAAGTGAAAACAGTTTATTTATCTCTTATGCGTTAGACCCATAATGTGGTCTCAGAAGCACAAAGACACTGAGCAACTGTCTAGGCACAATATCTCTGCTTCCTCTTAGAAAAACATTACAGAAAAGCAAGGGAAATTCTCCACTGCTTCAAGGACATTCCTTAAGAGTTCTGTTCTTTAAAAAGTCATTTTTCAGGCACAGCTTTAGAATGAACAACGAAGCGCAGACACCTGTGTCCCATTTTGGGCAACAATACCCCTGTACCATGTTCAGCTTCACTTAGCTTTGCCTCTGATCCATCATACTTAGCTGGGCCCCTGCCTCATAAAGTCTGGTTTTAAAACACTTACTTTATTCACCACAAATCATTATAATGTGGTACACTATAGGCTCTGGGGCTTGGTCCAAACATCTGCCAACCTATTAGCTGGCAATAAGGGGATTGCTGGAATGTCTTGGGCTGTGGGTGTGCTCCATGTTATCCAGAAAAGAGAACCCACAACTCAGTTAGGAGGGCACTGCCCACCACACCTCAGACCCTCCATGTACTTGTTACTCTGTGCCAGCCTATGGCAGCTCACCATGGATGATAGTTATTACTATTATTCACCCTTAACAAAGGCTATTTTCTACACAGCCCACTCAAGAAGCTGGAAATAAATAGGTTTGTTATATCACAAGTTATAACACATTTACGCCGTACTAAAAGGCTTCTCCTGCTCTCACCAGTAGATTCTATGCCAAATGACTGGCTCCCAGATTTTCCTTTATTTGGCTTTTAAGAAAAGAAAGAGTATCTATGGCTCTTCATATCTGCCATGTCAAGTTACTTACTGAGTAAATCCTTTCTGATAAATAAGATAGCCACACAATTTTTTCAAAAAGTATCATTTGAAGTCAATTGTTCAAGTATTCTTTATTCTGCAATAAGATAGGATCCTCCCCCCCTCCCCCGCCTTGGGACCAGCATGTGGTCTAATGGCTATGTCGCTGGACTTCCATGTAGTCCACCGTGGTTTGAGTCCTGGACCCGGTGGCTTAAACTCACGCTGGGTGTGTGTGCATGTGTGCCCAAGATCCCGAGAGGAGAATGGAGGAGAAGGGACTGCAGCGTAGCCATCCCCTCTGGGGGGTGATTTCTCGCTTTCTATATATGTCTCTGTCTTTCTGACAAATGCATGTGCCCTATAGCAAAAACCTCTCCAAAAAAAAAAAAAAAAGAAAAGAATAGATAGGAAACTCCCTTCCCCCCCCCCAGACAACAACAAAACCCTCTGGTATTATCTTTAGGTTTCTCTCTCTCTCTTATTTATTTATTTATTTATTTATTTATTAATGAACTATAAGCTGTAGCTGTAGGATGCATGAGTTAGGTTCCCAGTAGTGAATGTGCACTTTAGACACTGATGTCAGTACTGGCTGACTCTTATGAAATATAAGATGAACACTGGAAAATTGCTTTGGCCTCCCAAGAGGCAAATTTCTCGTACCTAGTCAGCTAATACTTTCACTCTCTCTTTCCCATTAATGCAAGTGAATCGTAAAGCTAGCAACAGGTTTGGGAGGTTCAAGTATATCTGAGATGGGGCAGGACAAAGAGAGGGGGTACTTATTGGAAAAACCAAACTGTTTTAAAAATACATTCAAGGAATCAGTGATAATGGAAATGTTTCTGTACTTTTCTCTCAAATTTCAATTCCCTATTCCTGATCTGGGCGTCTGTGGCACTATTTATAGTATCCCCTTCAAAATGAGCCAAGGGGGAAAAATAAGTTTCTGTTCCAGGTGGAATAAATCACCAAATTTATTATTATTTAAACTCTCTTAAGCATACCAGAGAGCCAAATGCAAAGCTCTGCAAACTGGCAAAGGTTTTTTATGGAGGGCTATAAATATTGTGGAATCTGTCAGGATTTATAAATTCTAAATATATGTAAATGCACATTTTACTGGAAGGGGTCAGATTTACACAAATCACACCTTCTTTTGAAATTTACTGAAAAAAAAATATGGTCACTTCAAAATCTGTCGGCATGTAGCCATCTGCACAGTCATTAAGTTGAATACAACCACCTTCCTTCTGACAAAAAGCATCTTTATCTAAGGTCAGGGGTGTGGAAACAAAGGAATGAGCTCTGCAGGATACACGAAGTGAGTTATCAGGTATTTGTATTGAGGCGTGTTAGAAGATAGCATTTGTTCACTTTCAGCCTAAGTGTGCAGGGCTTCTCCGAGAGGGAACAGGATGCTGGGACCACAGGACGAGTGTGTCAGGCTGATTCTGAGTATGGGCCAACAGTAACAAATGTATCGTAGAAATCTATCTAAATGGTGTTCATTTCTAAATTCAACAAACATGTCAGCGGGCCCCCGCTAGGTGGCACAGTCCAGAGCATACCAGACTGCTGTGCTGGAAGCCACATGGCTGACCACGGGTTCAGATCTCCAGGTCAGCCTGAAAACACGCTGGGCACTCTATCCTAACAAGCTGGCAGGTTGGGGAAAGGGGGTTGTGGTATCACAGAACACGGTCAGGGCTGCTCTCCTCCTTCCTGTCTCTCTCATGTGTGCATGCATGCACTTGTTCTCTATTGTGAATAAAAGTAAAATTAAAAAAAAAAAGCTGTTGGCACTAACCACCATTTAGTTAGCACTTGTGTGTCAGACACTTTACATACATTATCCAGAGTAATCCGTTATATCCCTACTTAGAGAAGAGGAAATTAAGGCATAGAGAAGTGTTAAGTAACTTGCCCAAGATCATATAACAAAGAAAATAAGAGCCAGTTCAGGGTAGAGGTCTACATTTACAGCACGTTTTCTATTGCTTCTCACAGATCTGGCACTTAGGCACTTGAAACATGAGAGAAAAATGTCATGCATTCAACAATTATATATTTAAAGATTTATTTTTGACATTTATTTATTTTGAGAGTGAGAGGAGACAGGAACCCTCCACAGGATCTCACCACAACAAAATCCTCCTCCCAGCCTTCTAGCCAGCCAATACCATGGGCATACATGGGCATGCCTGGTGTGTTCAGGTAGACTCAGGATTCAAACCCGAGCCTCCCATATGATTCCAGCATCATGCAGTGGTCCCCTATTGCCTGCACCACTGTGTCTGGGCCGACAGTCATGGATTGCCTACGTTACTGTATTGAAGGCACTTGGCTTGGCTTTCCAGATGTTAGTAAACAGAGTCAGGTCTTTGTTTCCTGTGGCACTTTCACCCTAGTGGGGGACATGTGCTGAACAATCTGACACACACAGGTTAGAGTACAGGGTGACAAACACTCTGGAGAACAAAAAAGCCAGTTAAAGAAGGAAATAGTATGGGATGGGTGAATGGTGATTGTAATTTTACATGGAGAGGTCACAGAAGGTCTCCTTGATAATGTGACATTTGAGCAGATTAAGAACAATTCCCAGTACACTGGAGAGGATCAGAGGAAGTTGACCAGAATGACAGTTTCGTCCTTCATCTGACTCTATTCTTAGCCATAATTTCAGCAGTATTACAATTTATTGAAATCGATGGGTAAACAAATAATTTCAAATGAGAATCCACATTAAATGAAATGGATACAAAAAGAATCAATTGGATTGTTCTCTTTATTTCGTAGTACTCATGCTCTTAGGAGATTAATGATTTGACAGCCATTAACATAAGGTACTGAGAGTCAATGACAGAGAGAGAAAATTAGCAGAAAGAGGAAAAAAATAAAACAGGTTTCTGTGGTTCCTGAATGTTAGGTGAGTGAGAAAGAAGAAAGCTGAAGGAGCCAAAAATCTTACCATTCCCCAAAGAAAAGGCTGAAGGAAAGATTATATGCTAAAATATTTTGTGTAAATACTTCACATGGATGTGATTGGTAATTCTGTTGTTACAGAGAATTATCAATATGAAAACAATTCTTGTTAAAGGGATTAGATTAATTAAATTTTCAACTACTTCAACCCCACCCTAATCCTCTTTAATAACATCCACAATGAAATTTATACAAGCTGAAGCAACTTTTTTCTACTTATAAAAGCACGGAATACTTCTTGCTGCTAAATCTAGCAGAATCGGGCATCAGTGAGTGTAAGTAATTATTTTGTGGCCAGCAGGCAGCCTTAAATAGATCTTAATTTAAGTCTTGCAAGCAACAGATCCTTTGCTGATTGTCTATCGACAAAGCAGAAAATATTTATGACTATGCTGATAATATTTACATTACTAAGAGATGCCTAAATAATTAAACAGATATTTGTGCTAAATATTTTCATAACGATTAGAAGACTGCGATGTTTAATTTCATTTAAAAAATGTTAATATTTTGGTACCAGCAGTTGGTGTAATGGCTACGTTGTTGGACTCCCATGTGGTCAAACGTGATTCAAATTTCAAACCCAGTGGCTTAAACTCACGTCGGGCACGTGTGCGTGTGTGTCCAAGATCTCGAGAGGAGAATGGAAGAGAAGGAATTGTGGCATGGCCATCACCCGTGGGGGGTGATTTCTTGCTTTCTGTCTCTCTGTCTGTCTTTCTGGTGAGTGAACACAAAAACCTATAACAAAAACTTCTCAAAAAAAAAATGTTAATTTTTACCTCTGGGAGAATCAAAGTTAGTTATTATTAGCAATTTGTAGCTAAAGTGGAACGCTATTATTCTTCCTTGATTAATTTAGAAGGACAAATAAAATTTGAGACATGCTTTACTGTTTCTATTAATGGAAGGTGTTTCCTTTTAGGCAAATGATATTTGGAAAAGAAAAATCTTTTGCCTAACATCTGTTAGACCCTTCAAAGTAAAAAAAAAAAAAAAAAAATTAAACATTAAAAAGAAT